GTTGGCCTTCCTCTAAGATAAAATGGGTACTTTTTAAAAAATTGAGGCAAAATTCACATGACACAAAATTAGCCATTTTAAGGTGTACAATTCAGTGGCATTTACTACATTCACATTGTTGTGCGGCCATCATCTATACCTAATTTCTGGACATTTTCATCACCCAAAAAAGCAAACCTCACACCCATTAAGCATTGTTTCCTATGTCCTCCTCCGTCCAGCATCCTGACAACCACTAATCTTTCTGTCCCTATGGATGTATCTATGAACATTTCACAGAGATGGAATCACACGATATGTAGCTGCCTGAGTCCAGCTTCACTCTCTCAGCATGTCTTCAAGGTTCGTCTATGTTGTAGCATGTATCAGAATGTCACTCCTTTTTCTGGCTGAATAATAGTCCGCTATACAGAGAGTCCACATTTTAATTCTCTGTTCATACAATGACATTGGGTTGTTTCCACCTTTTGGTTATTGTGAATAATGTTGCTGTGAACACTGGTACACATTTATTTGTTTTAACACCTGTTTTCAGTTCCTTTGGGCAGATACCTAGGAGTGGAATTGTTATATCTTATGCTAATTCTAGGTTTAACTTTTGGAAGAACAGCCAAGATGTTTCCCACAGTGGATGAAATGGATTCTGAATCAACATTTCCACATTGCAAAACTATTCCTCATGAGCACTTACATCTACCTGACTGGGATACACAAATGCCTGGGTAAAATCCCCCTGTGCTATTCCCAGACCCATTTCTTGTTCCAGATGGGAGAGCAGATCGGGCATGCCTGGGTGCAGTCCTGTTCACTGGGCAAGGATGTGGCATGAGGGGACAGTACCAAGACTTTCTGTGAAACATGCATGCTGTGATTTGAGGGGTAATAAAGTGGGGAAGAGTGAGAGAAGGTTGATGGGTGATTGATCTCGCCAGCGCACTAAAACTGTCAAAGGGGTTCAAAACAACTGTTTTCCTGGGCTCCGTGTTCACTCCCTTAAGTCTGTTCATCAGGAAGGGAATAAAGATGTAATGCAATTGGCTTGGTGCCTGTAGCTCAGTGGTTAGGGTGCCAGCCACACGTACCGGGGCTGGTGAGTTTGAACCTGGCCAGGCCTGCTAAACAACAATGACAACAATAACAAAAAATAGCTGGGCGTTGTGGCGGACTCCTGTAGTCCCAGCTACTTGGGAGGCTGAGGCAAGAGAATCACTTAAAGCACAAGAGTTTGAGATTGCTGTGAGCTGTGATGCCATAGCACTCTATGGAGGGTGACACAGTGAGACTCTGTCTCAACAACAAAAAGATGTAATGCAATTGATTTCCAGTTTCATAGTGCGTCCTATGTCTGCTACTTGGCGGGGCAGCAGCTGCATCTCTGTAATGTAACAACCCACTTTCTGTTTCTCAGCACACCTCCTAGACAGTTTTAGATTAGTACAAGTCTTGGCACTGACTAAATGAAAGAAGAAGGTGTTCTTATTCACAGATGCCAGGTTTCTCCAGTTGTCCAGCATCATGTCTCTGTAGAGATTCCTTTGAGCAGGGTCCAGCAGAGTCCATTCCTCCTTGGTAAAGTTCACTGCCCCATCTGCAAAGGTCACTAAGCCCTATAACAATGTACCCACTGTACTCAGGGCAGTGTCCTGTTATGGGTTGAATTGTGACATTCCCCCCTCCACCCCCCAAAAGGTATGTTGAGTCTTAAGTCCTGGTACCTGCAAAGATGACCCGACTTTTGCTCAGTGCCTGTAGCTCAGCGGCTAGGATACCAGCCACATACCCTGGAGCTGGTGGGTTCTAACCCAGCCCAGGTCTGCCAAAGAACAATGACAACTACGACCAAAAAATAGCCAGGTGTTGTGGTGGGCGCCTGTAGTCCCAGCTACTTGGGAGGCTGAGGTAAGAGAATAGCTTAAGTTCAATTGTTTGAGGTTGCTGTGAGCTGTGACGCCATGGTACTCTACTGAGGGTGACATAGTAAGACTCTGTCTCAAAGGGTCTTTGCAGATGTAAATGAGTCAGGGTTACACTTGAGTAGGGTGGGCTCTTCTCCACCAACTGGTGTCCTCATAAGAAGAGGAAATTGGGACATAGACATAGAGGGAAGGATACCATGTGAAGAGGGAGGCAGAGACTAGAGTGATGGGTCTACATGCCAAGGGATGCCAAGGTCTGCTAGTAACCATGAGAATCCAGGTGAGAGCATGGAACAGATTGTCCCCAATAGCCTCCAGAAGAGGCCAGCCTTGCTGCCATTTTGATTTTAGACATCCAGCCTCTAGAACTATGGAAAATAAATTTATGTTGTTTTAAGCCTTTTTGGGTTGAATAATACAGAGTGTTCATAAAGTTTGTGTTATGAACTTTGTGTTATGCGTTATAAATGTTTTACATAGTAAATTGTACATGAACTTTATGGACACCTTGTACTGTCTACTGTCTGGATCTACCACAGTTTGTTTATCCAGTATTAACCAATGGGCATTTGGTCGGTTTCCACCTTTTGGTTACTGTGAATAGTGCAGCTATGAAAGTTTGAACATTTGTTTTCATTTCTCTCGGGGTGTATACCTAGGAGTGGAATTGCTGGAAGCTGTAGTAAGTCTGCTTAATTTTTTGAGGAACAAACCATGTGCTATATAGTCTGAATGTTTGTGTTCCCCCCAAATTCATATGTTGAAATCCTAACCCCCAAGGTGATAGTATTAGGAGGTGGAGCCTTTGGGAGGTGATTAGATCATGAGGATGGAACCCTCAGGAGTGGGGTTAGTGCCCTTATAAAAGAGGCCCCAGAGAGAGCCCTTACCCTTCCACCATGTGAGGACACAGTGAGACGGCATCTATGAACAAGGAAAAGGGTCCTTGCCAGATACTGAATCTCCTGGTGCCTTGATCTGGCTTCTAGGACTATAAGAAATAAATTTCTGTTGCTTATAAGCTACCCAGTTTATGGTATTTTGTTATAGCAGCTCAAAAGGAAAACATATTACTATTACTAAGGCAACATATTACTATTTTATTAAGGAAGCCTAGAGCAGCCCAGTTTTACCCCAAACCAGGAAAAAAGGTTGTAGTTTTCATTGTCCTGGAGAACATGATTAAAAGGTTCATTTTTATAGAAAAGGAATTGGATGTGTAGAGAGGTGTGGGTGCTAAACTGAATGGGAAGATCTGGTGTCCCCCCCCACTCCCAGCTCTGACCTGCTCAGTAGCATACTTCCTCAGTAGCCCCACTATGTACCTCATGGGCTCCATCAGGTCTGGGCTCCCAGTGGGCACACTGGCCTGGAAATGTACCATGTCAGGGGCTGATCTGAGGCCTTTCACCAATTGCTTGGAGTCTAGGGGTGAGATTTAGCTGCGGGATCAGGATACTCCTCCAGGTCGTTTCAGGGTGCCTTGCAACTGGAATGCCTGGGTCCCCCAGTCCCTTCAGTACTGTGGTACCAGTGTCCTATCTCACACAAATCATCAACCAAGAGTGATTGATCAACAGACAAGTATCAGCCATTGGCTATCCCACAGCAGTGGGTCAATTTCCATATGGTGGGAAATTCAGAGTTGAGATGGGCTGTGTCACCCTGTGTGGTAAAGGATTAGCCCAGTGAGACAGACAGGCTTGCTCATACCTTGCATATTAAAGATTTGGCCCTCAGTCTGCTCCTTGTAGGAGACTGCTTAGCTCTTGCAAGGTCTTGCCTTATAAAAGTATCTTTGTTTTGCCTGGGGCTTGGGCCTGCCTCAGCCTCCACAAAATGCTAGGATTATAGGTATGTACCACCACACCCTGCCTAGAGCTTTTCATACCGTTATATGGAAAAAATCCCCATGATTGGCCAGGTGCAGTGGCTCACACCTGTAATCCTAGCACTCTGGGAGGACTGCTAGCCAAGACTGGGTGGATTGCTTGAGCTTGAGTTTGAGACGAACCTGAGCAACCTGACACTCTCTCTACTAAAAATAGAAAAACTAGGCTGGGTGAGGTGGCTCATGACTATAATCTTAGTACTCTTGGAGGCTGAGGTGGGTGAATTGCTTGAGCTCAAGAGTTCGAGACCAGGCTGAGCCAGAGCAAGATACTGTCTGTATTAAAAATAGAATAACCGGCTCGGTGCCTATAGCTCAACGGGCTAAGGCGCCAGCCATGTACACCTAAGGTGGCGGGTTCAAATCCCCAGCCCGGACCCGCCAAACAACAATGACGGCTGCAACCAAAAAATAGCCGGG